ATCTCTATCTCTATCTTACGCATTTCAAATCGGCCAATCACGAGCTGGTTCGCGTTTGACAGAAAAGTGGTTCGTTTTTGCCCCCGTATTGTCTCCTCTTCCTCTTAGGTTTTTCCACCTTCCTCCACACGGCGAATGAGAATGATCCAAATTTGTGTTTAGCTTTTTTTTTCCTCTGTTCGGGACCTAACACCACTGCGACCAGTAATTTGATCTATTGTAGTATATCCCGTGTCCTTAGTTTAGTGCATGTCGTATTACTCCATCACTATTGAGAAATGATGAAGCATTCGATTTTTTTTACAGTTGTCATTCTCGCATTTATCACAAGGATCTGACTCTAATTGAAAGGTCCCGCTATTTATACCCTTCGGAGTGTTGAAACACCCTCCAAAGGCGCGCCCCTTTGTCAGTCAAAATTGGATTCCTTAGCAATAAAATTACGGAATGACACCGATAATGACCATGCATCAGAACCCTAGTTTTAACCATTTAAAACTAGAAAACAACGAATAGAAGATTAGGAATCACATTGATGAAGACTAACTAACTCATTTTTCCCTTGTTTCAAGATCATCCTCGGTGAACAAAGCCGAGTCTTGACACTATCAACAAGGCATAAAAAGTAACAAGGACTAAGATGTGTTCCTTGGATTACTGAAAAATCCTGTTCCTGTTCCTGTTTGAAGTAGTCTGGACTAGGAATCGGTGGTAGATCTTACATCCCGTAACGTACCACGAAAAGGTGATCTACCCACGTTGCGGGGTGTTTAGCTCACTCATAAATCCCATAAAGTGCAGGAACTCAGCGATGAGTAAATTTGCCTCATGTTTTCCAGGATTTTCCAGGTTTGTCCAGGCACAAATTCCCCAATTTGAGAAAAGTGAAGATTGATTCACTCAGTCTATTGATGCTACTTCTAGACTGAGTAAAATTTTCGTCAATTTTTCTCATTTTCCGGCACATTTTTTAGATTTTCCACAAGAAACCATGAGGCAAATTTACTCATCACTGAGTTCCTGCACTTTGGGCGATTATGAGTGAATTAAACTCAAATTTGGGTCGTTCTCATTCGCCGTGCACTCCGTGCTTCTCGCATAACCTGTATGCTTGAAAACTTAAAACATTAATAATAAAATATAGATGTTATGCATTTACTGTCTAATCTAATCTAATCTAATCTAATCTAATCTAATCTAATCTAATCTAATCTAATCTAATCTAATCTAATCTAATCTAATCTAATCTAATCTAATCTAATCTAATCTAATCTAATCTAATCTAATCTAATCTAATCTAATCTAATCTAATCTAATCTAATCTAATCTAATCTAATCTAATCTAATCTAACACCAACACAGCTAGTTCTTGAAAGCATCCTGGAAAATGATGGATATACCTCCATAATTTTTCTTGTCTATTCGATATATGTTTCACTTCGAAGATGCATCACACATATCACAACGGCCAGGCCTACTGTGCAGCATTTAAGGGGCAAGATGATTCTGAAAACATTGGGCCTGTGCACGGCGCTTCAGAATCCAATAAATGGATGAAACGTGGACATCTCGTACCGTACGTTCCAATTTTGGTAATTATATGATTGGTTGGTTGTTGGAAGCATCATAGCTAGAAAGGTTAAGTGATGCTCCATTTCCTTCTGACGGTTGGGACATAATCACCAAAGGCTCAAACGCAATGTGGGCGAAAGCGGAACGGAAACGGCAAGTTTGACAGTTGTCACAAATGACATCAAGTTGCCTAACCGAAGTCGATTTGGTTCTAACTAGTTTTTAATCCGACAAGTAGGTTTACTCAGATCGGGCTTTTCCATTGCCGCTGCCGCTCCGCTTCCGCTGTCATTGCGCTTGGGCCTTAACTCTTGTCCTAGCCTTTTATGGCTTATGGCTATGCTATGAAATATTTGTGTGGCAGTTTCTTTAATACCATGCAATTATATTAAAGTTTCTGAACAAACTCTTCTCTGTTCATTTCAATATCACCAGATCATGTTTATTCGGTATCGAGTAAACACTAATAAACTTGATGATGGTACCCTAAAAATTGAAACCACTGAAAAACGAACGTATGATTCAGCTTTCAATATAAGCAATGCTGTACAGGGAAGTTTATTTTGCTCTCAATATCCGCGGATCAGTTCCATTTGCTTGGCTGCTTTATGGTATATCTAATGCTTACCACAAACGCTAGTGTGTATCCAAACTATATCTACGTACGTAGGAACCCATCGAGTGCGAAGTCAATCTCGCGAAATTTCCACAAATCGTTTGTTTTAGTTTTTCATTGGCACCCATCTCCCAACGACGTAGGTATATTGGAATTTGGAATGCTCACTGCACCCCTCTTGCTCCATTAAAAATCCACCACACCACCACCGTTCGTTCCGCTTCTATGAATGAAAACATTTTCCATCAGTAGGAGAAAAATTTCTGGCGAATACGAGTCATTACAGCATGGGTGTAGTACTAGAGCGGGAGTTGGTTACAGTACCATTTAGGCGCATGCGGTTTGTTACATTGCCGCATGTAAAGGAATTAATGATGATGGTTCTACAAAAAAAAAAGTCACTGCTTGGCTACAGTCTTGTTATTACAAAGGTATAGTTTACATTTACCGCCCTAGTGACAAGCTTGTTTGGGTAAGTTTCTTGATGACTTTTTTGCCATCTCGAGTATGATGTGTATTGTACGAGATTAAAGTTGCTGAGAAATAATTGAAAATACAGTTATAAGCAGAAGCTAGTAAAATAGTTTAGAAGAGCGTTTATTCAACTGTTTCTCAACCATTATTAATCAGCAGCCAAAAAACGCCAATGTCTCATCTATGCACATGTTTATCAACTTCTAACTTGTAGCTGCAAAACAAAGCTTTATTAGTGAATATATTACTCATTTGATATTATCTACACAACCAACCACTCTTGACGAATAACATACACAATGTAGGTATGTAGATTATTTTACGTCAGTTCAAAGTGTTAGCGTTCCTAAGTTGGTAGCAGTGAAACTTCGGATCAGAAAGTGGCTCCACTTGTCATTTGCGAACACTAGCGCACCTAGCGGTAGAAGGCATCTTCTGCCTGCAGTTAAGATATACAGAATGCTATGATAGTGTGAGTGCACATAGGAAGCCCGTGTGGAACGCTACCACAACACATCGCTTGTTGAGCAGAAAAACGAAACACTTTTTGATTCACCGATTTGTTTGCACTTCCCCTTCTGTTCTGTGTTGGTAGTGTCAAGGTTTGCCAATGCGGTCGTCTCGAGGTTGAGTCCAGGTTCCGGTGCAGGGTCATTATTTGATGGTGTGCTAATAACTAATGTCGATTAATTTGATTCGCAGCAAAATAAAATCAATAAATTCCTCCAACAAAAAAGTGCACCATATTTAACCCGGCTTCAAGATAAATCTGTGTACACAGATAAAAATTCTGAATTTTAATTGTGATGTAAACATTCATTCACGTAAACTTAAATTTAATTTCACACAACCGAGCAACTTGTAAACAATATTGTTTACAAAGATGGGCTTTTGTATACAATATTTGCTACATTGCATGAATTGTGCTAGAACTTTACATGATATATAATGTAAACTTATATGAAATATGACGCTCCATTTGTGTGCATCATATTGAACAGAAATTTACACTACTTTTCGAACTGTGTAGCGATTATTAAATAATCGGGAAAATGTTGAATTAGCGCCTTTCAAGTTCACACACAGCTAAACATCTGCATAGAAGCAAGCGTAACTGGATATGCAATAAGGGCTTGTCATAACCATCGCAACAGCCATAAGTAAGTAGCTGACTAAGTACGCCAGATTTTATTGTATAGAGGTTGAGTGAAGGTTACTTCATATCGTATATCATTTAAATACAGCTTGAGGCTGTATAAAAGAAATGAGAAAATCGTTTACATTGTGAAAATTGCTAGTTGGGATCCATGGTGCCACTTGTAAAGTTTTATATAGTTTTTGTATAGCACTCATAATTATTATACAAATAATGCTCATGTTCATAGTTTGTCATACAAGTGTATCCGCGGCAATACTATCATATTATGACAGGTGTATGCAGAACACCGCTAATCTATTCAACTTCTGTGTTTTTACACAGACATGTATTAATGTTTTTTTTATGTTTTATAGGAATTATAAATAATTTCATAAAATTTTTCAATCATTAATTATTTCATTATTATTTCATGTCCCAGTTCAACAGCAACAACACGTCTCAGGACCTTCGTAGCCGATCAAAACAATCAATGTTTCATACTATGTAACAAAGAAACAAAGAACCGCGTCGCTCAAAGAGGAAAATCTGTCAAAATAGCCTCCTTCCACCCCTCCCCCTCCATCTTCCCAACCGTTCGTTGATGGAAAACACCGACCGGATCATCCGTTCCTGCCGAAGACCGAACAACAACAATGGAGCTGCAATAAACTACGGCGCGCAAACACCAACACACACACTACCACGTGGTTAGTCGGGTGGCGCTCGTAGCTCGAACGATTCACGAGCATCGCCTTCGGGAGGACATTGAGGGAGGGCAGGATATGGGGGTTTTCGATTTTCCGACAGTAGTAGTTTTCCGTGCATGTACAATTCCAACTCACTTTGAAGCAGCTGTCTGTCAGAGCAGTCAGTCAGTTTCTGTTCGGCTCGTAAGACGTTTGGTTGACCTTCTCTGATCCGGACCGGTCGTAGGTTAGTTAGCTGAAAGGGATCAACGGTATGGTGTTCGGTACCTGTGTGTGGTGTGTTTTTGATACTCATAATTCCGGAGTGATTCAAGATTTGAGCGTAATTGCTTTTGTAAACAAACAGGTAAAGCACCGATTTCTTGTGAATAAATGCCGAAGCTTGAAATTAACAACGCAATCAGGTAGAGGAATGATTCCTCTACCATTTGGTATAGTTTGTTCGTGAGATTGAGGTTTTACTCGCGTGAAATCGGTGATTAACGTGTTTTCTAACAAAAGCAATTACGCCCAAATTTCGAATCACTCCGGAATTGTGATCATAAAAAATAATAGCATCAACTGCTGCGAGAATAAGGAACGGTGACGACCACGGCTAAGCAAAGAAAACAGATTTGTGTAACAAGTAAAGAGGAGCTACTGCAGGTGGCTTTTATCCCTTTGTTGGTCGTTCTTGGTACATAGTCAGATTGTAAGGTTACTACGCGGCTCAATCTTGGGGCTCCGAGGACCAGACGATGGTGAAATGCGATACAACACCCACAAGAGAACATATATTTGTCCTCTGTGATCTTAGTGAAGCGACGGTCGTTTGTTCGGTGGCGTTTGGAAATGGGGCAGAATTGCCGAAAGTGTTTGTGCGATTAGATTCTTTCTAAGTGGGTGGGAGTAAATCGCACGTGTGCTTTCTTATGTGGTGGAAAATTTGCACCGAAGAACAAAGTCGACAGTGAAAGGTGTTTAATATTATTTTTTGAAACGAAGAAATTCTTGCGGTACGCGACGAAAGAGAGTCAATTACTGCGAATGTTCTTGGATGGGAGGCGAATGTCGTTCTCCTGAGGTGGAACATGTGCACGGAATGATTCCCCCTGCGGTCGATACGTGGTTAATCGAAAGTGGTCTAGGCGTGTTGCGTTGAAATGCGAAATGTATGCCGTTCATGGAATGTTCTCGGAAGCATACGAGCGTGACTGAAGAGTACGGTGAGAGCGTGGTGTACGTTTGCGGTTGCATGAGTAGATTTTAACGACCGGCAGAGTAACAGTGCCCTCGAGTAACATTTTCATCTTTCTTCTTTCGGTAGTAACACGCCCAACTTTTTTTGCGGTTGGATTTTCCCGTGAAGGTCATCTGTTTTATTTATGTTTCGTGACATGATGTTTAGGTGTCAGTTATGGTGAAGGTTCATGGAATCCCTCTACTTCCTCTTTGATTTCAATGAAAAATCTGATGGTGTTATTAGTTTTCGAGATTGACGAGAAATCGGGGATTGACGTGTTTGTTTACAAATGCAATTACTCCTAAATTGAAAATCACTCCAGAATTGGGATATACTGACTTGCTGTAGAGTACACGATGGCATTGGTCGGCGGTAGCTGATTTCGTCTACCAAAATTGAAACGTTAATCTCACTGGATTTCCTCATCAAAACACTTCGCTAAATACATTCAAACGATTCCTTAGCCTTGCAGCTTAAATCTGATAAGGTTTTTTCGACTATCAACTGGTTTTTGTTGAAATGAAACTTACGCACTACAGAATGCTTGTTATTTCGAGTTTCGAGCGTTGTGCAATCATTATTCTATTCTATTCATTGAAGCACCGTTAAGCTCTTGTTGTTCGGAGTTTCAGATGGCTAATAATTTTGGAAAACCTTCTGAGATGATGAATAGTAACCAACATATTTTTTTTAAGTAAAGAACCCAATTTGTAATTACTGGATGTATGTTTTCACGTTCAAAACAAATTAATACCAGTAGGCTGAGTCAGTAAGATATTCAAATAACAATCCTAATTCTCTTATATAAATCAGTAGATGATTTTGAATCTTACCTGACGCTTAGCTTGACTATGTTATGCGATAGTTAAAATTCAATTTATGACAGCAGCTTATGCATACAGTCATACTGTTTTAAATTTCAGTTACCTCTCACTCCAAATAGCCTGGGTTCAATCCCAGTCGGCGCCGTCGGGATTTTCTGAGGCTTAAATCACGCCTTCCTTCGGAAGTGAAGTAAAGCCTTTGGGCCCCGGTCCATCAGTTGATGGGTCGATAGGTAGGGTCCAGGTGTGAGAGCTGCCTCCCTGGCGTCGGTAGCATCGGTTTCATTACGGAAAACAAGATCGACGGAAAACAAATCAAGGAAATCAAAATTTAGTTCAATGAAATAATTTTTAGCTCAGTTGTTTGTTTTAAAATTTTATATTTTGATGTGCAGCTATACCAGTAATATCAGACTTCACTTTTGAATAGACATTCACAGAATGTACACATATGTTGTATGATAAAACATAATTTAGAACACCAGAACAACTATAAATTGGAACGGAGTTGAAGTTGGCTTAAGTGTCCACAGCTTGAATCAGTCAGCTACTGCTACAACTAAATGCGACATTATCAATAAAAAATGAATTATGCATATTTATTTCCTTATTGGTATAACAACTATACACAACCGTGCGTCTCCATGCAACTGCTAATATTGAAGGACTTACAGAACATAGGGACATAACTAACCAGTAACGCTGTTCTACCCAATGTTTCTGCTGTCGCTGGCACCAAGTCAATTTAGGTTCAGACTGTTGGGCTTCGTTTTCTCCGGGGTCACCACTTTCATGTTCACCTCCTCCTCATGCAGGACCTCTATTACTTCCTCCGTTGGCTGGTTGTTGCTGTCCAACTATGCATCTCCAGAATCCGTTATAGTTGCTCATCCTTTGACAGACACGTGTATTTCGCCCACTACTTATATACTTCTCCAGTGCAAGAACTGAAGTACTTGAGTACATGAGAAAGAGAAAGTCTAGGATAAGAGAGGAGCGGACTGGCTTGTTTGGAGCCAAATGAACTGTCAAAGTCAGAGCTCATCGAGCAGCGACTATCTTGTTTGAATTGGCAGAGTTACTAGAAACCGCCTAGGCATGGGTTACTAAGCCAGTTTATTTTGAATCTGGTTAGTTTACAAGTAGTTTAAAAGGATAAGCAATATGTATATATTAAAAAAAAAATACACCACACTTGCGTGAACATAATACATCACCACACTGTTCTCTGATTACCGGAGATGCATGGAGTTTTAAGAATTGTTGAAGTATCAGAAATTGCTGGAGTTCTGAGGGTTTTGTGGTAAGAGATTTCCAGCATTTCTTTGAGTTTGAAAGAATTCTTAGCATTGCTATAGATCGAGAAGTTCCTGGAGTTCTAATGACACTGAATTCTGATTCTCAGAGCTCTAGAAATTGGTAAGATTTTAAAAGTTCTAGTGTTCGTGCTAGTATTTTCCAAACCTAGGTTTTCACCAGCATCAGCATCTCTTACAAGTTCTTAGGATTGCTAGAGTTCCAGAAGTTGGAAGGTTCTGAATGCACTATCAGATCTCATTGTTTGGAAGTTTTAAAGATCTTTAAGCTGTGGAACTTTTGAAGGTTTCTGGGGTATTCGATGTTCATGATGTTCTCTAGAGCTCTGAGGATTGTGGATCTAGAAGTTTTAAATGCAAATGATAGTTGTGGGAGTTGTAAGAGCTACGAATGTAATGAGAAATCTCACGTTTATTGCAGATATTAGAGTTTCGATTTTAATTCTGGACTCATTAGTAATCCAAGAATGCCCCGTAACGTGGGTAGATCACCTTTTCGTGGTACGTTCCGGGATGTAAGATCTTCCACCGATTCCTAGTCCTGACTACTTCAAACTAGGGGAACAGGATTTTTCAGTAATCAAAGGAACACATGATAGTCCTTGTTACTTTTTATGCCTTGTTGATAGTGACAAGGTTCGGCTTTGTCCAACGAGGATGATATTGAAAAAAAAATGAGTTTGTTAGTCTTCATCTATGTGATTCCTAATCTTCTATTCGTTGTTTTCTAGTTTTAAGTGGTTAAGACTAGGGTTCTGATGCATGGTCATTATCGGTGTCATTGCTTAATTTTGTTGCTAAGGAATCCAATTTTGACTGACAAAGGAACGTGCCTTTGTGGGTGCTCTCAATTAGAATCGATTCCTTACGATGAAGGCAAGAATGACAACTGTATCAAAACCGAATACTTCATCATTTCTCAATAGTGATGCAGTAATAAGGCATGCACTAAACTAAGGACACGGGATATGCTACAATAGATAAAATTACTGGTTGCAGTGGTTTTACAGGTCGAAACAGAGGAGAAAAAAGTCCAAGAATTCAAAAAGATTTTAAAGTTGATAAAAATATCGACAATAAAATAATATTTCAGAAAGTTCTCACCACTAAAGGTATCGAAAGTTACGGGAGTTTTAAAATCACTCTAAACTTTCAAGTGCCACCTAAAGCCGGGTATGACCCGTTGTGGAAAGTGACAGCTAAATCTATTGTCTAACTGTCAAATTTAGGTCAAGGCAATGCAAACCGATCTAATGTGGGTGCCCGTTTAGAATTCTCAGTACAACTTATTACTTATTAGTCCCTAGTTTTATGGATCTCTGTGAAATTTCAGAATTTTAATAATTTCAGATGGAACTGCTAGATGTAAATCACTCGAAATTTAAGGAAGTACAGAAACTTCCCAACAAGCAAATAAAGCTGCAGAACAGCTTTTAAAGGTAAACATTTGCTGCATAAGCTAAATTTTGCCTGTATAAGCAATTTTTCAGCTAAGATTGCTAGTTTAGTTCCATCAGCTAAGGAGTCTGAAGAGCTCCTGGAACTCCAGAAACTTCCAGCATTTCTGAAAAATCTCTTGGATCTCCCTTAAAGTCTCAAAACTATCGGAACCTCGAGGACTAGCAGAATCTTGTTTTTATAGACAGTTTTAAGCATTCCATGGGTACTTGGGGGGTACTCCTGAAATTTAATGATAATTCCTAGAATAATTTGATGTTATATCATAGGCCATTCTAAGATGCATTGCATAGGAGAGATCTGATGATAGTTAAAAGGGAATCAAATTCAACGGAATTTTTCGAAAGAGTTCTAAGGAGAATTTTAAGGAATTTTCTTAAGCAGAATTCTAAAAAAATCGATGACAACTCTAAAGGGATTTCAATGGCAATCCTGAAATGAATCCGAAAAATGATGAATGCAAAAAAATGCGGAGGGGAGCTCTAAGGGAATTTGCATTTCATGGTGTTTGTTCTCAACCAGTTCCCAAATGTAATCTATAGATTCGCGCCGATCTCAACATTCTGGTACTAAAAATGAGTGCTATACAAATGTTATTTGCAATAACAAATTAATTACGTTATTAGTAGTAGTAGTAAATTTGGTTCAGAGATAACTAAATTATTAGTAATAAATCTTTCCAAACTGAACTATCGAATCAACCATGTCAAAGTTGTATCCCAGCCCAAGTGAATAAATCCAAATTCCAGTTGCAATTTTTTTCCTTTAAGCATGAGCATGAGCAGCAGCATGAGCATGATTGACCGCCCATGGTTGCTACTCTGTTATTACCAGCTGTAATTACACAGAGAACCAATAGACGATGCTTGGGGCTAGCAATCATCCTAAATGTGTAAAAACTGGTGATCTCAAACTAGGCAATACCAGCGCCGGCCGCGCCCGAGCACAGGTCAAGAAAGGAATGGGTAAGAATGTGTTGACGTGAGACGTAATGGAAGCCGAGAACACCTCTGCACTTCCACGAGGAATCACTGGAATATTGGGTAAGAGAGTTGGGATTGCAGCAGGGTTCGTTTTAGTAAACGATATGCTGAATTGACGTCCTAACGCAAAAGAGCTTGGGATTGAACCCACAATCTTCTGCTCAGTAAGCAAAAACGTTTGCTCCTTTTTGCAATCGAGCTCCTTTTTGATCATCGAGTTGTTGCTATTACCAAGCAGTCATATTAACAAATAAAGCAATTGACTCATGATGTTCTGCTCAGTAAGCAAAAACGATCGCTCTAAGGCCACCGAACCCCTCATATCACATCATACCTCGAGTTGTTATAACAATTCAAACCCGGCACCGACGACGACTAGTTTCGCAAAATACACGATAAATAAGCGATTTGACCATAAATCTTCTGCTCAGTAAGCGTTCTTCTGCTCAGTAAGCAAGCCACTGCAACTGTCGATCTTTCAAATCCGAAATCTAAAAACTACTTAGGCCTTCATTAAGTTTCACATTCACCCGATATGCTCTTTACGCATTGTTCAGGCTATTGTGCCTCTTACAGTCTTACATTATAACAAGCTATGACTGACGTAAAGATTGTTAAAGCCCTGATTTAACAAGATATTAAAATGGAATTACGGTCTCGAAAGCAGTCAATCATGTATCCCAAACTGGACAAGCGTGCATTCTATTTTTCTAAACATTCCAAAGCGTTCCACCCAAGATCAAACAGGTTGAGTTTTCTAAAATAGTGGCTTGGGATAAATCGTAATGTAATGAAGTATCGACAGTATCGCTTTTCTTATGTTCTACCAAAAACGCAAAATAGATCACACGCGATCGAGGACATCCCGAAATGTGGATTGTTTTTAATTGGAACAAGCTCACCAAATACAATCACCATAGCAGCACCAACACAACCTTACACAAATTTTGGAAAATTTCGAAAAATAAAGAAAAGAAAAAATACACACACTCACACAAAAGCACATAAATAGGAAACATAGCCCTCTTCCTAATGCAAAAACCACCACCATAAAATCTCAATCGAGCTTTTTGAATCACAACACATTATAAACAGCGACAATTTTAACCGATCTTAAATCGATTAATCACAAACTAATCAGCGGAATACGCGTAATAATCCGAACGTCCCCTGTAGTCATACTGTTTATAACAATCTCAGTTGCTATTTTGTTCCTTTAAAAAGACTCCTAGTGGCGGTTAGGCAAAAACCGAAAAGTTCTGTGTAATAATTGAACCAATAATTGTGCCAATGCTCACAACCCCGCTCAGCATAGTTACAGTGTACATCGAATTTCTCAGCCGGTTAAATTTGATCGGAAATCACGAACCTGCCCCAACACATGGGAATACACTTTTCAGGGTAATTTCATGAGAATCCTGTGAGCAAAACTTCAACAAATTTATGGAAAAAGTCGGTTATAATTTTCAAAAGAATTCCTTAGGATTTTTTTGGAGAGATTATTGAAGAGTTTGTTGATACTTCAGAATAATTTTCCAAGGAAATTCTGATGACTGGAAAAAAATCTCTCAAATTGGCACTGCCAGTAATTTTGTCATTTGAGAGCAAAGCCAGGACCCCCTAAAAAGGTACACGGGACTTTTATAAGACTGAAAGTAATCTACTGTGAGTTTGCTTACGCTAGGGATTCTAAGATAAGCTCATGGATAATTTTGAAGAATCCGTTAAATTGACCTGAGGTAATTCTGTGTTGTTAAGGCTATTTTTGCAAAGAAATCCTGGGAAGATTTCCTCGAGAAAAATATCAAGGTTAACATAGAAAATTTAACAAGTTTTCTGGCACAGTAAAGCATTTCAAGATCCAGGAATTGGAATAAAAAAAAAATAGAATTCATCCACCTATGGTGAGATCTGACCTTTCTTACGTATTCATTTCATGTGTACTCGGAACATGTACAATTGTGTCTACTGTGATGCTGGGCACTTGATATAACCAACATTGCACTAGTTTTTGGATTCTCCTGTGATTTGAGGTGTCGAATGATGGATGTTGAACCAAGTCAGAAACTGGAACATGTTCGGATGTATTCAATGTAATCATGGGCACTTGTTTTTTGATTCTCATGTGGTTTGAGGTGTCGCATGAAGAATTTTGGTTCAAGAAACCGGCCACTTCCTCTGGGGTATGGGTAACATATCCGGATGGGTCCAATTCGGTTCTACACGCTCAATATGACCACCATTTGTATTTACACCCGTGTTCACCGGAGCATTTTCCGACCATATCTTCGAAACCAGTGAACCGATCCCAAAAATATGCATTTTATGGGACCATGGTAGCTTTAATTTGGTGGTTTTTGTGTCCAATTTGGTTCAGTGGTTGCCGAGAAACAGCTCTTAACACTAAAACGGAATTTAGTGAATTTTTGAAAAAGGCACAATACATGTGACCGAAACGTCAGATGAAAACTTAAAACCCCGTTTTTGAGCATCAAAAGATCGAAAGCCACATAACCTCTAAAAAGATTAATTTCAGCACTTTGTGGCTTTTCCTGCCTTATCTCATTCGACCTAATGGTTTTCTATCTAGTGGTTACACTCAATTTCGAATGTTGGATATGTCTATTAGCGAAGACAACAAATCAACTGGCAACTCTTCCTTTTTCTCATATGAATGCTATGAGACAGGTACAATCGCGTCATCTGTCGCTTAAAGGTAAATGCTTCGAACGAATTTGATAGCAAAGATTACATCCTCAGAAGAAAGGTTTGTGTATTTGCTCATTTTTTTATGTGTTGCTTCCACCTTCACGCTTGGATTCTGGCAAAATTGTCAGTCTTTTTGATATGATGTCTCTGCCATTAGGGAGCCAATGAAAATGATCATCCAAAGCCGACCATGTGCAAAATGTTCCTTGCCTCGAAAATAAACCCTGTGTAAATTTTGGGCTCTATCGAAATTGATTTTGGGTGGCACAAAATAGTCAAAGTTTGAGTTTTTTGAGAACCGAAAAATTACCCACGTACGTGAAATGTCGGTTTTCGATTTGTTTTATGTCAAATCTAGATAGAGCTGGAATTAGGGCGTAACAGCTTTTGTAAACAATGACTTCTTTCGAAGAATTCTGGAAAACCAGGGCTCGCCCACACAAATCAAGATCACCATCGGATAGGGGAAGGCTTCCTCTATCTAATGCTTATGTTGGTTTGCGTGGGCGTACCTTGAATTCCTAGAAATCGTCGAGAGAAGTAATTGTTTACAAAAGCTTTTACGCCCTAATTCCAGCTCTATCTAGAAATGACTTAAACATGCATGAAGCGTTGAGATCTGGTGTTATCTATAATTTGTTTTTTTTTGTCGCAAATCGACTTTTTTGAACTTTTCTGGATTGTTTCATGACTAGGATTTGAGATATGGAACATTGATGAATTGACTTCTAAAGATGTTCTCAACTATTTCCAAACTACTTGTATGTCATTTTAAGCCATCGAATACGTGATGCTTCACTAGTGTGGTTCATTTGTTTTTCAATAGGGTCGTCCAAAAATGTATATTTGAGCAACTATAAAAACTTTGCACAACATTCATCTAAAAAATCTCTAGAAAATGAAATATCTGCCTTCTATAAGAGCAACACTGTTATTTCATTTCCATCCATAGCTGGAATTTCTTTTTGTAATATTTCCTTAGGGTGGTTCATTCGTTTTTTATTCGGGTATACTTTGTAAATATTTTTGTTTAATTTATTTAATGTAGCGATGTGGAATGTAAATGTTCAACAAAACATTACACAACGTATCACCGATAAAAATTTGAAACATAGAACATGCATAAATCTTTGTCTAGCTTTGTTATTTAAACTAATCGTTACATGGACTGTTGTCTGTTTTCGGTGAACTTATTAATTCAAACCAGCTTCGGAAAATCACCTACGTAATGTTTGTTTGCACTGCCATCGCTGTGAATCGAGCAAGATTTCATTTCAATTTTCATTGATCCGTACATCGCTTCTACCCACCCCCGTAATCCAATAAACATCCTCTCGCCAAATCTTCATACGTTGCGCTTCCCATCCAAAGTCCGAGAGCTTCTCCGCTTCTGGACAAGGTTAAGTGCTTGTGTATCGCAGCTAATCCACTGACTGCCTAGCGGAAAATCGAATTATCCAATACTGGCAGTAACTGACTCTGTTTTTCGGCGCACCCGTCTCTATCAACATCGTCATCAACATCCACAATGGCAGCACCGCCAATAGCAGCTAATTCTACAGGAAGCACAGGGCAAAGCAAACAGTTCCCAAGGTGAAGTGTGCACCAGGTTAGTGTAGTCGAAAGTGGACGAGGAAAAGTGAACCCATTACCCCTAAAAAAAAAGAAAAAGAAGAAAATGTAAACACGATGTGCGAATAAACAGAAGTAGAAAAAATCGTTCGGAACAGTGGCGGCCGTGGAAAAAGCAAGCAACAGCAGCCGCTGTGGAAATAGGTATGAGAAAATCATAAACATTAAAGTTTAATCAGTCAGTCGGAGCGAGTGACACTAGGAGCGTTGCTTTACAGGGTGTATTTTGATACACGTCCTTGTCTCGTTTCGTTTGTTCTTTTGTGCTTTGTACATTCAAAAAAGTGTCTATGCCGGTGTCCTGACCGGGGTAGACATATAAAGTCGGTTGATTTGCCAGTATTGTCTGTGTGGCTGGTATGTGTTGGGGGTCGATGGAGATGGAAGGAGAGTGCTATCATCATAACTCACCCACCACCGCAACTCGTGCAGCCGAAAGCATTTGCTTGCTCTAGTTTAGTGCGTTCCGTTGCTTTATAGACGATCTTGCCAATTTAGTGCGACGACGGTGAATCGTGGACGTTTGACACTGAGAGTGCGCTGGAAGTTTGTGTTGACATTTGTTGAAGAAAACTGATACCAACTGTGTTTGAACATCAAGAAAGTCTCGGAAAAGTTGTTTGGTTTGTGCCTGAAATGTTCCCGGACCAGACTATTGGATGTATTTGAATAACGAAGCGTACAGGTAATATACGTTTGTTGGACTGTTTAATAAATTTAAAATATTTATATTAGATTTTTACGTCAACGATATCAGGAGTACCATTTCAAAAGGTATTATATTTGGATCATTCCATCACAAGGTAATCATAAAATTTTCAGAATTTCATTGACCCTTTCCGATTGGAACGAAAATTGGTGCAATTACTTACTGGGCCAACATTTCAGCCGATCGGACTATGACCCGGCTCTGATGACCAACCTCTACTCCCCCTTTTTAAAGACGAAACATTCATTTTCTTTTTACCATACACAATCCATGTACATTTAGGTGCTCTGAGACTGACTAATACGAGCGTCAATTTTGACATAAAATTGAGTCATAAAGACGCGAAATTCAACTCAATCAAACGTACTTTTGGTCGAGTTGGAGCACTACTGAAATGTTTCAATCCTTTAAATTTGTCGAACCTCTAAACGGAATCCCTTTATGAAGAGCTTTGAGTGGGTTGGTTTATTTCCTTCAAATTCCGTTATAATTGCTTATCTTTTGACAGATACGAGTATTTCGTCTACTACTTGCAGACTTCATCAGTGCCAAGTACCAGGTGGTGTTGAGTACATGACATGTTTGTTTTTACGTCTCATCCTTTATTTAAAGATGGATTCCATCACGTATAAAATTAGTTATTTCTAAGCGTGTATCTTTGGAATTAATAGGGTAGGTGGTCCAGTAATACCCAACAAACATTGGAAGCAGAATACGAGCTTATTGAGTCGAAAATATACTTATTAAGCTAAAAGCTAGCTTATTCAGCCTTTAATAAGCTCAAATTGTTTGTTGGGTAGTGATGTACCTATAGTTGCAGTGTGAGGGTTGTACCGGAATAGTGGGGACAACCCGGATGAGATTATTTTTCATCGGTAGCTTGACTAAACAAAGCATATTTACATATTTCAAACTTAAAATTAACCCAAAAATGACGCAAGACAATTAATTTTCCTTAAGATTTTCACTCTTTGAACTTACAGTTGCTGTTGTGTTCCTATAATAGTGGAATCCATAAGAAGCTAATGCATTCCAATATTATAGGAACCAAAGCTAGCAACTACCACAACTGCTGGAACAGTGTTCCTCTTAATGGAGGACGAGTTTTATAAAAAGCATGCAATTTACTCGTAAACAAAATATTTCTGATTCTTCGTTTAATCCTCTTCGATCATCACTGTCGATGCAGGCTCCCGAAAACTTCAAACATGTATTTTGTAAACAGTTGAAGGCATGGAATCGAATAAATCTGCTTTTTTTAATCTTTATGATTTAAAGGGTGGAACGGTTAAAAATTGGTCAATTATGATTAAGTGATAACACTTTATTTCTTTTCGAAGTTCAATGACTGAAAAATACAGGAAAATTATCTGATCAGGCTTTCGATTTTCCAAATGCGAACTGTCGGGTTTTACGTTTCATACCTTCAATCAGCTTTTGTACCCCTGGTGTATCAACCTTATTTGATGCTGATCGTCAATTGGGCTGTTTAACTTCCCTTAGACATTCGCTCCCATACAAAGTCCCATACATTTTTGCTAATGTAATTGTACATATTTAAAATAGGTCCAGTGTACCAAAATTTATGAAATTTTGGATTTCGGTTACATTTTTAATGCAGATAATGAATATGTATTTACCTCAATACCATTAAACAACCCAATTTGCTTAGAACTTTCCAACTGTTTTCTGAGTTTTCTTGAGATTCCGCTTAACGATTGCCCAATATTTTTCAATTGTGTGCAGTTGCTTGCGGTATACCATTCCTGAGCCATTTTCCCGTAGAGACAGGAAGTGAGGTCTGGCCAAAACAGCACGGAACAACTTTGTTTCTTCAAAAAAGGCAACAATCGTTTTTGCAAACATTTCTTTTGATAAATATCTTGGTTGACAATGCCAGTTGTCACGAAAATTTCGCCCACAGGTGCAAATCGTCTGTTAAACCAAGTATTTTTTCAAAAACTTTGACAACTTTTTCTGCTTAAATTTTTCTTGAACCTTTACTTTTCTTCGTGGGAGCTGCTTGAAAGCCGCTTTAATGTTCATTATAACGCAATCAAATTTCTGACGCAAACAATCTGCGTGGGAATAATTTTGATTTCGCTTATGCGCGAGCAAAATTTTGATACGCTGTTCCTCGTGCTTCGACGCCATTTTGACAAATGAATGAAAATGGCAAAAACAAAATAGAGCTAACATTCCGTACGCACAGATCTACAAAATGAGGGGTGTTCAAATTTTTTAAATGCACGATTAAAAAAAATCACCAAATTTGAGTCGACCTATTTTTGACCGTTCCACCCTTTAGGCGAAGAGAAAAAAAAAATTAAAGGGTTGTGTCCTAGACACGACCGCAGTATGACGTAGAACTACGCAAAATTGATGTATTTCATGCATTTTTGATTATAATACTTTAAATTAAATTTTTAAATTATTTCAATGTTTCGGTTATGGTTCAAAACTTGCAACAATTCATGTTAGTATAATCAGACCACGGTTCATCTTACGCATGAGATAATGTATTTAAATTTAATGTAATGGTTTTCAAAAATTTGTTATATCGCTACACTATAACAACCATAAACAAATATGTAATCAACAGAACTGCACAAATCATTCAATTTAAGATACTCTTACCATCTAAAAATGATAAAAAAATATTGAAATAAAAAATATCAACTTTAATTTTTGAGGTTTTGGCCAGCCAGGAATCACTGTGCGTCGTTTTCTTACGAATGACTACACACCCACTCAAACTAACTAAATCATCTGACAGAGAAATGTTTGTTCTATGAGCTAGTGTAGTCAGATTCCGTGGGTGTGTGGTCATTCAAGAGAAATCGACGTTCTAAGTCATTGTTTACGTTTCGAGTTATACCCTTCTGACATATTTCCCCTGAGATAGGAAAACCTCAGTCCGTACAAGGTCCAATGGGTTTACGGTTATCTTAAATCACTTAAAATTAAATTAAACTTTACTCCTAAGCAAATTGTATATTGAATCAATATAAAATATTATTTTTAATGTTCTACCATACCTTATACTATGTACCACAGCAATGTATTTCACTAACACGTTAACAAAGTAATCAAAGAATAAAAAAAAAAAAGAAGCAGGCAGGCTTTTCGTGATGAATTTATGCACTTTAAAGGTGGATTCCGTCCTCTGCTAATGCACGCTTAGATCTGAATACACCATAAAACTGGATTCCGTCCTGAGCGATATTCCACGTGCCGTGGGGTGAGATTTTGCGAAGGTACGAGAGGGAGAAAAGTACTAGTTGCTACTCTCCTGCCAACGCGAATTTTGCTCCGCTCCGAATTTTAATTGTGATGTAAACATTCATTCACGTAGACTTGTATTTCATTTCACGCAACCGAGCATATATACAATATTAGCTACATTGCGTGAAATGTGTCAGAATTTTACATGATATATAGTTAGCTAGTTAGTTTTCTTTATTATGGAGGCTTTCAGCCTGAGGCTGGTTCGCCTCCGGTAATGATATATAATGTAAACGTATATGATATGTGACGCTCCATTTATGTGCATCATATTGAACAGAAATTTACACTACTTTTATGAAATGTGTACCATAAAGCGAGCGGTACCAAAAAAAGCGTGACGTGTTCGGGTCAAGGTTGCAAATACTCATTTCAACCAAAATAATGTTTTTCGGAATAATAAAACCAAAAGATGGTATGATGACATGGTTTACTTGTAACTTACAAGAAGAGGTTACAAAGTATGCGTTTGAAACATAAAATCTGTAAATTTTGCTTTCTATGAATCACAATCAGCGATTTGCTGATCGCTGAGTGAGTGAGTGAGTGAGTGAGTGAGTGTGTGAAAAATCGGTCTTTGCAACCTCTTTTTGTATCTTACCAATTCAAAATATGATCATAGCATCTAATTATTTCATAATTAAAAAAGACATTGTTTTAGCTGAAATGAGTATTTGCAACCTTGGTTGGGGTACGGAAGCTATACTCGGGGCCGAAGAGGATTACCAGTCTAATTATCGTTTTGTAGAAAGTCAATTTCGTGCGGAGCTGAGCTTCATAGACCGAAGACAGCACCCTTAGTATGATTTTATCACATTTTCATTTCGCAGTTGAGCATGAGCATGAGTGACTGCCTGAGGATGCAACTCCGTTATTGCCAGACCAGCTGTAATTACACAGAGAACCAATAGACGTTGCTTGGGACTAGAAATCTTCCTCAATGTGTAAATGCTGGTGATCTAAAACGCCGGCCACGTCCGAATGCTGGTCAAGAAAGGAATTGGGTAGGAATATGTTGACGTAATATTCGCTTGAATGAAAGCCGAGGACACCTCTGCACTTTCATGAGAAATCACTGGAATGGTGGATAAAAGGGTTGATATTGCAGCATGATTCGTTTTGGTAAACAATATTGATGTTCTAACGATTCAATATCGCGAAGGAGCTTGGGTTTGAACCCACGGTCTTCCGCTCAGTAAGGCAAATCAGTCGCCACTAGGCCACCGAGCTCTTTCTATCACAAAAAATTACGGTAGTTCAACTTGTTTTAAGTAAGTTTCGAACCCAGCATCGACCTCACCAACGACGTCAACAACTGCTTTTGAGAAGGATTTGATATGGATTTCCGTTTTTTGATAAAACACAAATATTACTTATTTTACGTACCCGTTCCTTCAACCGAACTTCATAACGCTTTATAATATATTATTAAAGAAAACCGAGTTAAAGTATAACTCTATAATGTGATGGAACTTGGGATTGAACCTATTATTTCCTGCTCAGTAAGCAAAATCGGACCACAAGGCCACCGAGCTCTACATTTCACAAAACAGTTACGACCAAGTTCCTGTTAACAACTATTCTAGAGAAGAATTTGTTATAAATTTCCGATCAATACGTCTATCCTTGCCCCGAAACCTGCGTAGATCACCTTTTCGATGTACGTTACGGGATGTATGATCTATCACCGATTCCTAGTCTGGACTACTTCAAACTAGGGGAACAGGGTTTTTCAGTAATCAAACGAACACATCTTAGTCCTTGTTATTTTTTATGCCATGTTGATAGTGACAAGACTCGGCTTTGTCCACCGAGGATGATATTGAAACAAGGAAAAAATGAGGTAGTCTGCATCTATGTGATTCCTAATCTTCGATTTGTTGTTCCCTAGTTTGAAGAGATTAATGCACTGTCGGTATCGGTATTCCTTAATTTTGTTGCTACGGAATCCATTTTTGGAGGGTGTTTCAACACTCCAAAGGGTATAAATAGCGGGACCTTTCAATTAGAGTCGGATCCTTGCGATAAATGCAAGAATGACAACTGTAAAAAAAATCGAATACTTCATCATTTCTCAATAGTGATGCAGTAATACGACATGCACTAAACTAAGGACACGGGATATACTATGTACAATAGATCAAATTACTGGTCGCAGTGGTGTTAGGTCCCGAACAGAGAAAAAAAAAACCTAAACCTTGAATATTACTTTCTTTAAGTACTCGTTCCTCCAACCGAATTCCGTTTTACCTCATATTAAGAAGCAAATATGGTTTAGCGTTTCTACGGTATACTACGTAGATTGAATACTAGTGATACTCACGTCTCTTTAGAAATTTCTTAGTCAGACTGCTTTGAGGAAGAATGCTGGGGAGTAAACAATAATTCCTATTTCAACAAGGATACCAAAAGCATGACTGTCGCTATTCCCAGCCACGCCCATCTTTGCCGTAACTAGGGATACCGTAGTAATAACTTAACGAGAGGCCACCGACTTAGCGACACCCTCATAAGTGCTACGGAGTTGGAGAATTGAAGCTGGCGATACAACCAAAAGCAGATGTTTTAAATGTGTTGCTCATTTAATCTTTCGACTATCGGAAGAGTATATTAATTTTATTTAGTGTTGGTACATTTAACGATTCATGGTTACCGAGAGGTAAGCATTAGTTTCAATGTATTAATGATTTAAACATGTCAACTTATGGTTTTCTGGCGCTTTATACTCTGGAAACCCTGTGATGGAGATTTATTATGTTGTGGAAGAGCTTAGGATTAAACTCATGATTTTCTGCTTAGTAAGCAAAAATGATCTGGCGGGTCATCGAGCATCTCAAAACCACAACGCTCTACTACTAAATACGATTATGTTTTCGCTTGAGATGTCGAATGTCAGAGATACGCGATAATTCATATAGTTTCGACGGTTGATTTTAAGTATACGAATGATACTGCAACGACGATGACAACAGGTCGCCTCCGTCGATTATCATAACAATTATATAAGGGAAATAATTAAAAGAATAAATGGGAACGGACTCACCAAATCGATCCATAAACAATTTATCGTTATTGGGATCGCCATAATCAATGGTTGGTTGATTGAGCACGATAATAGGTTTGTATATTTTTAGTGTCGGTGATAACAACCAACCATGAATACAAGCGAATTAAAAATCCTGTGTGGTCAATCAGTTGATCGCCAGCAGAAAAGTTGAACGAAGATTACTTTTGGTTGAAAGAACCGGAAAGAACAACCAAGGCCAGTCGTTGCACTATGGGCAAAAATGGGTCCAAAATTACCCAAAATTCAATATCTCAACAGCACGCTGAATTCCGGCCATGAAAAACGACTTTTCCAAAAGGAAATCGTCCGGGAAATCGATTGCACGTAGTCCCATAGACCGGAGAGCCTTGTAGGTATGTGTTTTGGACCATTTAACCCCATTTTCCCCTACTTTTTGGAGGAAATGTTTTTTCACAGCTCTATTTTTCGTAAAACATAAGCACTTTATCCATGGTTTTAGAATACTATGTCTTTAAACAACAGTTCATGAGATATTAGGGGATAACGGGGTACACTTTATAGGGGAGTAAGGGGTAAAAGTGAAAAAACAATCAATGTTTTTTAATACAAAATCCTTTTTTTAATATCTTAATATTTTTTCTTAAAAATACTTTTAATTATCTTTCATTTGGTATTTTGAGTTCCGTCATCGGCCAAACAGTTCAAAAGTTATAAATTTTTGAAAAAAATCGAATTTTTTTTTTGACCGCCCTAATATATAAATAGTCACCCTATTGACAAAATAAAAAATAAGGGTCTAATATGTTGCGATTAGGAACAAAACTGCCAATTTTTACAAAATTCTGAGAACCACTATATCGTTTTGCTGTATACAGACAAAAAAAGTGAAAACTCTTTTAAAACAGATAGCAGTAAATTAAAACTTATTTAACCCCAATTAACCTTAAAATTTCAAAAAAAAAAATCTTATTTTTGCAGGCAACCTTTGGGTTCATTCAAATAATCGCATCGTTCAACATTTTTATGAATTAAAATAAATTTAGCGAGGGTTCACTTTTACCCCTTACTCCCCTATAAAGTGTACCCCGTATTCCCCTAATATCTCATGAGCTGTTGTGTAAAGACAAAGTATTCTAAAACCATGCATAAAGTGCTTATGTTTTACGAAAAATAGAGTTGTGAAAAAACATTTCCTCCCAAAGGTAGAGAAAAATGGGGTAAAATGGTCCAAAACACATACCTACAAGGCTCTCCGGTCTATAGGACCACGTGCAATCGATTCCTCGAACGATTTCCCTACGGAAAAGTTTTTTTTCATGGCCGGTATTCAGCGTGCTGTTGAGATATTGAATTTTGGGTAATTTTTGACCCATTTTTGCCCATAGTGCGTTGGTGCAAGCTCCCGAGAGGCCAACCAAGCCGATCGATGTTGAAGATCGGCGGTTGAAGAGGTACTGAATAGCCAATAGAGTAAATGGAACCTGGTTGAAGGAACACTAATTTAAACTTCACAAAACACGAAAAAAACGGTACAAGAAATTCTTCGCACAACGATCTCCGCGGTTTCAAATTAACTAGGGTAATTGATTTTGGTTGGACCTATCCAAAAACTGATGATGGTTGGACCTTTTTTTTTAATCGCTGTTTAGTCAATCTTCGCTATTTTTTTTCAAAGATCACTTTACTATCATAAAAAACTCTTTCCTTGTTTTAATGAAAAAAAAAACTTCAAAACAATTGAGTTTCAATGTGTTTTCAAAACAGTTCACTTTTAACGCATTAGCTCGTCATCATGCCTTACTTTCAAACATACAAAAAGGGAATATTTTTCACATTTATTTTTATTTTCATGCAGTAAAATACTGCTTTAAGGTGTAAACAGCACGTTAGTACGCCATTTATCCATTGGTTTCACTAAAATGTTTGAATAATTGACGAAATTCGAATAGATGAATATGATCATGGTTGGACCTACGCATGATGATGGATGGACCTATGTGTTTCCTAAGACGGCCGCTAGGTGCGCTTCGGTTTGTCTACATCCTTCATGCGCAGCTGATTTGAAATTCGATTTCGTTTTGGTCGAGTGATCAGTTTCTTCGATTGAAAAAATGTTCTTTAGCCATTTCAAGAGTTATACGGTCGAAAATCTTCAAGAGGCTGTTCTTTAGTAAGAAATAAAGCACTTACCGCGTATCAGGCACAGAACAGGTACAATATTCCGAAAACGACACTTCACACAAAAATTAAGAGAATCCGCGGCAAGAAATATGGAAGGGAAATAGTGTTGAGTGTTGATTTGGAGAACCAGCCTGCGGATTGGATTTGTATGTGCGCTGCTTCTGGCAGTCCCAAGACGACCAAAAAAAAAAAAAAATCTTGGAAGCTGCTTAAGACATTGCATCACTAGCTAGGCGTAAATTTAAAGGAGGAATTCCATCGTCAGGTTGGCTGAAAAGGTAACCACCGATTTCCAAACTACCACGAAAGCGCAGAAAAAATCTGTTTATTTGAATTTTCATTAAGCACTTCTCATACACCTTCTATGTGTGAATTAACTTGAAATAAAATGTTAACAAACTAAAAATTGCTAACTGAAACTTATTTGCGAAAGAAAAAACTCCTAGAAGAAAAAGAACTATAAAACCGGAATTAAGTTCTAATATTCTGTCATTTTAAGCCCCTAAATTTCCCGGGGCACCCAGAACATGCCCGGAAGTGGCCATTGTGGTCCAAGGCAATCAATTTTGTTATTGATCTTGTTATCGAATTTGGAAGTAATGTGAAGTGTCGCATGATAGGTTTTATTCCTGCCATGTCAATTTAGGTCCATGTTCCATATACCCTGGAACTTGTTCCAGACATACATATCTCCGGAACCAGTTGACCGATTCCAAAAATATTCGATAGCTTTCAATGAGACCACAATACCTATATTTAGACGTGAAAAATTTTCCATATCGGGTCAATGATTTCCGAGAAAATGAGCCATGATGAATAGCTAACGCGTGGAAAGTGAACTTTTTTAAAAACGAAGTCAAACTCAAATTTCTTGATTTTTTTAAATAGCAAATTCATAAAAACTGTATAAAAGGGTTCTTTCATGATACCAATAAGCTCTAAACAAATTTTTTTGAACAAATATGGGCAATAATAGCATTTGCAAAAATAGGTCCAACCAAGATCAGTATAGGTCCATCATAATTCTTTGCTGAATAAAAACGTTTTATAAAATCATTTGTTCATAATATTTAACTTTTTATGTTATTATTAGGAACAAGAGAGGTAGATCTTTCCCTTAATCACGCATTTTTCATAATTATATGTTGAATTCATAATAAAAATACGACATGAATGTTGACGTCGTGTGAAACCGGCCTAAATAGGTCCAACCATCATCAGTTACCCTATAATGAATCTTGTCCATCAAACGGCCAAATGGCGAACTGGTAGGCACTGGGTCAATTCGCGGTTATCGACGTACAACAGGGCCAGCTGATTTCTGATGGCTGAAACAAAAATAAAACCAACACAATCAGCATCCTTTCCTTGATTCTATCTATTGCATATCCGATGTCTTACTGAGAAGCAATTTCTGGCTGAAAAATACCCGCATACAAGTGGCCTCCGTTTGAACTTGAATCTTCTCTCTATAGCACTTCAATCAAAGAAGCTTCAATAGCACTTGTAAACCGTTACTGATAAAAAAACATAAACGTTTGCAGTTTCTATAATTTTTGCGCGTTCATTACCGCTGGGAAATGCGATGAAAACTTTGACAATTCCATTGAAGATGATGTTGGTTATTTTTTTTTTGTTTTTGCTCTCACAGCCATTCAGATTTTGCATTTAATTAAATTAAAGAAAACGGCAAAATATTAAATTCCTGCAAAAGTGCGCTATTGAAAACCGAAAAATGAATAAGGCACTATCAGTGGGGCTAAATTGACAGATTGTCAAACAAAAGTTGGCTTATAAAGCTGAAAATGTTGGTTGGAAAGGACCAACTCAAGCTGAACGGTGCAAATAATAGCGTCACATATCATATACGTATGGACAACAATAATGTGGCACAGAATGCACTAAATCACGCTTTTTGATACCAGGTGAATCTATGTCATTGACGAAAAAATTGATAAGATTTTGACTATGTGAAAAAAAATCTGTTAATATCGGGAGAAAGTCTGCGAATGACAAATCTCAGTACTGCTCAGTAGAATGCAATCGTAATCAACATGCAAAAAATAATAAGTGAGGAATCATTCACACAACTACACTCAATATCATTCATTTTTCGCTCAGTTGTCTGTTTTGCTCAATACTGCGTTCATCGAAGAAAATAGAAGCAATGTGAATGTGAACGAAATCAGTGCGGCTCGAACATGCTACTGCTCGTTTCGGATGTTGTATGCGTGTGAGTCAGTAGTAAATGCAAAACGAAACGATTTTTACCATGCTTGCTTGTAAGGCTTTCATCGATGCAAGCAACTCGTCCATTTTGCAATTAGTTGAGTGCGCGATTTCACATTCTGTAGAACAGTAAATAATAGCTATCATTTTTCTGAACCTTGTTGTATCGCGATTTCATATGCAGCGAATTGCTACAAAACAGACACATATTTGTCATCTGTCTTTATTTCATTATTACAGACGCCACTAGTCCAGTTTGATCGTAGCTGTCGACACAAGCAGCTGTGTGTGTTTTTTTTCCGAATCACGCGATAGTCCGTTTTTCGATAGCAACTCATTGTGTTTGTGCTTTTTCATTGTTTGAAGTTCGTTCGGTTTTGCCGTTGTACCGTTGGATGCAAACAACTGGAGAAGTCCGTTAAAATAAAGCTGACAATAAGATTCAGCTTCCCACATGGCTCACCGAAACCATCAATGGAAGAAATTGGGAATTGTTTTGTTTGCAATCGCCGGACCCGGATCCCACTCAGAAGATCGCTACATATTGCATAGCGGAGGAATAATCTATGTTCATCAAATTCAAATCAGAGGATTCGATGCTTCATTGTCTGCTACATACCCGTTAACATTTAATTTTCCATTATGCCGATGGGAAGTCAGTCGAGGTATGCATGTCGCCTGCAATATGTTAGAGTGTACGACCTCCTTGCAAAAGTCACGGATAACGATCTAGCATTGGTGCTAGGGAAATGCGGTGATGTAAAGCGTGTAGTTCGGGAGCAATATCCAGATGCCTTAGGTCTCGATATGCACACATTACGGGGTCTTTATATGAATGTAAAAAAGGAGATTCCCAGCTCGCAGCATTTCCTCAATAGAAAGGGGAACATATTCTATCAAGGGAACACCAATTTGTGTTTCCTTTGTAAGACGGAGTGGCATCTGCCCCAAGTGGATGGATCGGAAGCCTCCAGTACAATAAGAAACGGAAGAGAAAAACCAACAACGGAATGAGGAAGAGACCAGTACGTACACTAGTGTAGCGACTGGAGGTGCATCGCTAAACGAGGAAGCGGTTGAGGTCCTGTAAGAAGAGGTGGTGGTATTGGACAACCTGTTTTCAAGTACAACAATTATTCTTTTTACTACTACAGATAGTGGATAGTAGAAGGAACGGATAAAGAACGAAGAGGAGGCCAAGAACCGGGAAGCTGCTGAAGGAAAAAAAAATTAAAGAAGTAAGGGATTTTAAGGCATGGATGAAGGTGGAAGCTAAACTGAAGCCGCCTACAAGGAAGAGTAAGAAGAACTCTTAAAGTATGTTCCTCATTATAATTACATTGCAATTAACATTTCATTATTTAATCAAAAAATCCAATAAAAACACAACACACTAATCCATGGCCAACGTTGACTACGGCCCTTCATAGTAAGTAAACACGATGTTCCATTAATGTATGAAGCGATGGCAGCTAGCGCTACTTATATTTTGATGAATTAGCTATCTAGACTTAGCATATTCGATTTATTGACATCGGTTTTCCAGGTCTTCATCCACATCTTCACCACTTACGAGGATTTCAGAACTTCATGTGTTTTTTATAAGGTTTGTCAAGAAAATAAAAATAGAGCACTCGAAAAAAATCGACTTGACTCTAGAACAGTGATGGAATTCTCACCAAAATATCATTTTCGCTTGCGATACGTTTTCTCTTGGGAACTTTCCCTCACTAGTTTCACACTCCAATATTTCCTGAGCGAACTTTCTGGGATGAGAGAATGAGATATCGCGAACTTTAACTCGAATCACCAACGTGAGGATACGAGAAATATCAGATCATTTTTTCTCTCTATCTCTTTACACCACATTCGTTCTTGAAAATTGCACTGCACATTTCACAAGGGAAAGATTATAGACAGAAAGCTATCCCGAGTAAATCAATACAATATCTAAAGACTGATAAGTCTGGTACCTGGCTGTCTACTGGCGCCTGTTGTTTAAAGTAGCCGTTATCAGGATGATGTGAACAGTTTTGTGCAACTGATTGATTGGTGCATTGGTTTCTGGCAAAAAAAATGAATGAATCAGCACAAGTGTCAACGCGACATTAACGAGGAACGGGGAGGGTAGTGTAAGATTTTGTGACTAGCAATTTTTATATTAAAACCGTTCCTCAGGATAGGGGGTTGCGGAAGGAGGAGCGCCTAATGTATCCTCATTTTCACGAAATACAGTTAATGCATGGCTCCTCTCATCACTAGTGTTCGTAATATCGTTCCTGTAAGCTCTTATGCAATAATTATATGCAGGGGGATGGTTGGGAATATAGGTGGTGGTGAACTTTTTCACTGTGCTATTACCAGTGCTGTAAATTCTCAAAATCATTTGAACATTTTTGATGAAAATTAGAAAAGTAGCTATTCGCTATCAAAGGGGACCTCCTCCGAATGGGTGATATCAGTTGCTTAGTCATTTGACGAAGGCATGGATCATTCTCATTTGAGAAACGCTATATATCATTCGATTGAGTGTAACCTACACACAAACGGAGCTCTGGTCGACATTCCGGCGAAAAAGCTAAGCCAACCCGACACCAACCTGACTTCTATCAAACCCCAACCCGATGTTGACCCGACATTGACCCGACATAAACCCAAAATTGACCCGACATTAACACGACATTGGGTCGACATCGACCTTAAATTAGCCTTACATTGATCCGACATCGGGTCGACTTGTCTGTTCGGGACCATTTTCCTGGATTTCTTCCATACTCCACTACTGAGCCAATACCAATGATACTGAGTGAATCAATTGACAGTGACAATGAGCTTCGAATGAGAAAGGGGCTCTTCAAATTATGGTCATGTGAGAATTCGTTTACACAATTCTGTGAATGGTTGCAGTGGTTCATCTTCAATCGAATGATATGAAAATTTACAGCACTGGTTACAAGTATCTATTATTAGCTGGTTGCATTGAGAACTAAAACTATAAATAAATCCGGAAAACTTTGAGATTAGGGCGTAATTTCTTTTGTAAACACACACTTAATTCGCCGATTTCTCGTGAATTAAAGTTCAATCTAAAAAAACTAACAACACAGACAGGTAGATGAATGATTCATTTGGTATAGTATAGTTCGCTAGATTGTGCTTTGATTCGTGAGAAATCGCTGAATGACGTGTTTGTTTACAAAAGCAATTACGCCCAAATCTCAAAGTTCTCTGGAAATGGTATTTAATGTGAAGGATGCGAAAAATATCGGAGAACGAGAAGAAAACAAACAGACACTCTCGCGTGATCATCGCCTACCTTTACTCGCTGGAAAAAAAGAAACAAAGCTGAGGGGATATTTGGTTGGTTCGAATCACGAGTACGTATGAAATGATGTGAGATGGAGAGACAAAAGATCTTTCGCGATACGAAATGAAAATTTCTCTCGCTCTACGCTTTCATGAAGTTTTTATCATCTCTCGTTCGCGAACTTTTTGTGAGAAGTTCCTTTGGGATTTATCTCTGCAATGAGCTGTGATAGAACTTTTTTTGAAAATGATTTTTCCAACACTGCTCTAGAATTTACATTGGTGAGCATTGAGGCACACACAATTTATTCCACCTAAGTACGGCTTCTGGACCACTTTGCAATCGAAGCTTATCGCAAATATTTTCATAATACTTAATGAACTGATCATTTTTATTTAGGACTTGCTATGAAAAACTACCCATTAATTTCAATAAAGTACCATTATTCAATATATCGAAGCATTTTAGAGAAATGGATTTTTTTAAACTTTTTAAATGAAAGAAAGACCGCAGGAGGCCTTTCCAGATAAACAGTCAACTCTCTCTTACTCTAACTCGATATTCTTCCTAACTCAATGGAAATCTCGGCTACTTTGACTCTTTTCCCATATAAATTTTCAAATCCTACCTCCGTAATTCGATATCCTCCCTAACTCGATGGTCCTATCAATAACGAGTTAAGGAGAATTGACTGTACCACCAATTGCAACATGAGATGGAACAACCCAATTGCAAATGCCGATAGGGGTAAGAGGTGGGACCATAATCATCATAGATTGGTCGATGAGATGC